AAGTGCGAGTGGCCCCGGACGGTAAACAGAAGGTGTGCGTTTGTCCTCCAGTGTACACCAGTTGCATAACAGAGCTGGTAATGATTTTATTCCCAGCATTTATCAAGAACTGCACATTCCACAGCAGTTATAAATTAGGAATAAACCGCCTTACGTAACGCGCCCACGTCCGAAAAAAAGCCTTTCCATCACAACGTTTTACTGAAATTGGAGCATTACAGGCTCCGATTAAAGAAAATGCTTGCGATGTGATTTCTGATGTTCCTGTATCAGAAGCGTCCATTCATACAGCACAGCCTGAGGACGGCAAAGTGTTTGCTGACGGAAGTGTGAAGGAGCTGAGAGCAGATTGTGTAGGAAAGTTTGCCCGACATTTCTGAGTGGAGAAAGGTGCATCTTTAGCAAAGCTGGCTACAGTTTTCTGAGTCTATTTATTTATTTAATTCACTTATTCATGCTTTACAGTGAAAAATATCACAAATTATATATAGTTATATTAAAAGAAGTCTCTTTACAAAACGTCTTTTGAGACCTTAATGCAAATTTATGCAGGTTTTTTTTTTTTAATTGACAAAAACTGACGCGAAACTTGGCGAATACGTCATCAGCTGCGTGTGTAATATCATAACGTAACATTTTCAGTAAATCTCCCATGTTTTGCTTGGTCCTCCCACAAATGCTGAGCAAGAGAAGCACATTTTGCTTTTTACCATGTACTCAGCTCATAAGCTGCATGTTTAGGCTCCAGTTCTGTGCGTTACACACAGACAGAATGTGTCCGATTTGCACCTGAAACTGACGCAAAAAAAGGTTTAGCACATCCGTCTCTGTGGCTGTAGAAGCAAGTATGTACCAAAGTACTCTCTAGTATTCTAGAGTAAAAATACTGGTAAAAGATAAATAAAATCTGCGCACACTTTGTGGTTTTCACTATAAATTTGCCTTTACCAAAGTCGTTATACTGCAGCACTACAGCTTTCAGCACATGCACCCCGAACACTGTGCGAACAAGCCTGGTGGGACCTTCACTGTGATTTCATGTCTCAAGAGCAAAACAGTCAACGTCCAGATGAAAGGATGAAGTAATCACTGTCGCATCCAGACACTTTATCGTCTTCACCCTCACAAGCCTTTATTTAAAGGACTGGCTCACTCCAGTCAAATGCTCGCATTTTCATCTTACCTCAAATGTGGTCAATACAGTAATTTAATGATTTTACCACAAACTGATTTACATAACAAGATGCTGGAGCCTATATTTCTTAAAGTGAAAACTGGGTAAAATAAAAAATATATGTACAAAATCTTCTCTTCACCCTAACGAAGTCAGCCGAGACATATTTACCGTCTGAAATTTGCTTCTTTAGTTTGGCTTTGGAGCTACGAGGCTGATGCAGCACATACATCAAAGAGTACCAAGTTCTGAGTAGTTTCAAACAGACTTGCTTATATGGACATGAAGTTATCTATAAATGCATGAAAAGCAGAGTCATGCCTTCACTTTCTAAGTGCTGAATTGAACACAATGGGGAAAAATATTGGAAAAAAACATTTTATATCTTATTTCCAGTTTGTTAAAATCAGCAAATAAATGGAAATTTTGCACTAAGATTGGCACGAAATATATTTTATATAACATACATTTATATTTTTTCACTTTTTTTTACAAAATCAACATTGCATGACATTTGACTGGGTTTTTTCAAACTGTCATAAATTTTGTGCCCATATTTTTGTCCATGTTTTTTTTTTTGTCGTAATCTTTGGACACCAAACAAGTCCTGACTGATCGACCGGATTTGGGGTGAAGGGGAAACTGAGGAGTTTTTGCAAAGCCGTTCCTTTAACAAAGCTATTCAGTGTCACGAAAGCCAACCGGTGACGGAGCGCTCCACACCGTGACTGATATTGATCTTGTAGCTCGGCCTCTGGGGCTCAGCAGGGCTGTAAGACAATAACTTAAGTCTGCTCTGTCCCTAAGGTTTCTATCCCACCTGTTCTGCACTACCGCAGACGCTGCCTTTTCCAAAACAGCTCAATACGCATTGTGTAGAGCCCCCGTATTCCTGTACAATAACAGAGGCTGACTGCTGAGAGGCGTATGACGCATAGAGCTTTGTTTCTGGATGTGTAATATTATATAGAAACTGTGTAGCCTTAAAAGCTCGGCCTCTAACTTGGCCTGAGAAACAGCATTCTTAAGAGTGAACTCATCTCTCTGTGGGATAAAAGACCCATTTCATGCTTATTTGCTTTGACTAAGGTGTGAGGAACACAAAGAAAAGCTCTGTACTGCAACTCTGAGCGAGCGATTTGAGGCGACTTTGTATTTTTCCTAGCCGGGCGACGCCTTTGAACTCCACGCTGTCATTTGCTCGAATTAAACTGACTCGTGTCATTATTTCGTGGGGCCGTATTTTTGCGCAGATGAAAAAGAGGTGATGCAAAGCGTGGGCAATTCCGGAGGGCCGCACGTTTTGGGAGGATGAGAAGAAAGTGAATATCGTTCCATTTCAGATTGGATCCAGAAGCATGGAGCCTGATAGGTTTTCCTCTTTGTTCTCTCGTATTGATTGCACCATCAGTGAGGAAGAGGCTGCGTGCCCTCAGGTTTGACGTGATGATGGTGAGCAAAATTATATCTGAAAAACTTTTGAAGTTGCACGACTGGGCCCGTTGAAAGCTTTCCGTTCCTTTTTCTTCTGCTCTCGTTTCTTTTTCTTCTCTCTTTCGCTCTTTTTCCCTGACTGCATGCAGACACACGGCACGGTATAATTTAAACCAGCCCCCCAAAAACAGACCACAGAAGCATAAATAATTGAATAAAATAGGGAGTGGTTTTTCCGCAATACACCAGTAAATTACTCAACAACATATTTTTTCTGTTTTCGGGATGCAGGAGTCTAGATTTTGGCATGGGGGCGGAGCCCTGAGGAGTCTGGAACTTTGTTTTCTCTCGGACCAGCGAGTGCTGGACTGGTATGCAGGTTTTGGCCTGGATGGATCCCACTTTTTTGGCCCGGCTTTCGGAAAGCCTCTGCTTCCGATGTGGTGCAAAGGGCACAGAAAACCAGGAATGTTTTCATGTCTTTTATAAGTGTCCAACCGGTGATGTCAACGTCTGACTGCAGCACAATATGAGAAAACTACAACACGTCCATGTTAACGACATTCGCCAGACGCTCCTATCGAGAGCAACTCGCAGTTGAGTCAAGATACAGATGTAGGTGAAAGCAGCATTAGGAGTCCAATTATAGGTATAGCATGCTGTGCTTACCTGAGCAGGGAATCAACCCTGTTTGACACATGGAAGGTAACTACGTTAGCCACAATGCGATACCAACCACTCTCACTGGCGAGAGTTCTGTCCTAATCACGTTTTCTTGCCCTTAATTATAATCCAACACCTTTACTACTCGCACTTTTGTAAATAATACAGCCTCACAGTGCACTAAAGGCCTAAAGATTTCTGGGAGCAAAAAAAAAGTACATATCTGTAACTTTTATATAATGTTTATGCAATAGAATCACACATATCCCTGTTGTCAGAAGAAAACCCTGTATGTCCAAAATGGCAACTTCACAGGAAAAGCAAAAAACATACTTTACTTTTAATGTAAGTCAATTGAACCAGATTTTTTTCCATGTAGTTTTAGGTCATTTCTTTTAGTCCATTCATCATGAAATTCACAGACAATGTAAAGGAAACAGTTATTTCCAAATTATGTCAAAAAACATAAAACATAAAACATCAAAAACCGAGATTTTCTTCTGACAACAGCGATATATTACTCTCTATATTACTCTATTTCCTTGTTTTGTTTTGGACGGAAACAAAACGTCAATATTCTTGAAAGTTCAGTGAAATTTGGCCAATCCTTGTTTTTCTCTGGGGTATTTAGGTAGAAACAGCTAAAAGAGCTCTTCTATTGGTCAGGGCTTCAAGAGCTGAAGAGAAGGCCTAACGCGTTATTAATCAGCATAATTATAAATTGACAAAGGAATCAACCAATCATGTTTTGATTTTCAACAGGCGAGTCACTCTAGGTCTTCTGGAAGTATATACTATAAATGAGCAGCAGCCTAATCAATGTGTTGCTAGAAATGGAAAACAGCGGTGGCAGCTCTATGCCAGACTTAAGGTAAAATATATGTAAATATGTTAGTAAAACATGGAAAGCTCCTGTTTTTAATCTAAAATGGCCAAAAAAAGCTCCTGTAAATTGGCTTTAGCTTGACACTAACAAAGTACTACAATCCCAAAGGGCCGCCAGTAAAAATTAACATTATCATAGAGGTGTTTCTTTCTCATGTTTGACCGTGTTTGGTCATTTATGGCTTGAATTGAAAACCTAGCTCTAACAGTCATGGTTCACCACTGATGATATAATGATATCTATTGTTATTTAGATAAATCACAACGTATTACATCACAATATCACAATGCTTTTCTGAGCATCTCAGGGAAATCGTCAGTACTGCATGTTTCACTGCAAAGAGGTCATAATTAGTGCTGTTTGACTGAATTTAGGATCATGTTATATGGCCCACCCTACTACACATACAAAGTCCCTAACAACCACACTACTTTTAGCCACACACATCAAACAGATAGTAGAGGGAGTGGTCATTTATCATGGCTTTCCTCACAATGGACATGTCCATTCAAACACATCACAAACAGGTGCTAAACATCAGTGTATGACATATGTGTGCCTGAGCGATTCTTCTGGGCTGCCAGTATATTCTTTTCCCCAGTTATAATTACATCATGGCAGCCCAGCCCCATTCCTGGAGACCTACCAGCCTGCGGAGTTTAGTTCCAGCAAGCCTGGCTCTAATGTTCTGATACTGAAGACCATGATTAACTGGCTCGGGTGTGTTCGATTATGGCTGGAACTGAAGTCCGAAGGGCCAAAGCTCTCCAGGAATAGGGCTGGGCAGCCATGAAACAACGGTCTGGCAAATCAACACACTTGTCACAAAAGCATGGCACTTACGCTGTTGTCGCTGGACCCCGACACAGGAAACACTGTCCAGCCCAGTTCAGCTGTCGCTGTGGTGGAGTCCATTAAAGTTTCTGTGGAGCCAAAAGGAAATATTCAAGGTTACCACTGAGTAAAGATCACATTACAGACAACTCACAAACACTACGGGTGCCAGCCGCAATAATTCAAAAGTTTAAAAACACACGCAAGACGATAACCACAACATTTCACATCATTCATAAAGAGGTTTCATAACTCATGAATATCCTTAAAGCACAGACGGCCGAGGATGAAGGAACACCAAGAACTTTACATGAAATATGGAAGCTAATCTTTCTCAGTCCTCTAAGAAGGAATACTAAAATGTAATAAGATATGAGGTATGAATATTTCAGCATACTCTCCAGAATAATATCCCCCCCCCATCCCCCAGTCGTTTATGGTCCTTTCGGATACAAGAGAACAGACCGCTGTGTAAAATATTATCAACCAATCTGACAAGTGCCAGCATTAAATCAGCTTTGTTATTCCGACTGTCCAGAGCAGTAAAAACGAAAAGAGCGGTTAAGTCTGAAAAGGAGTCTGCAGAAATGTAGGGAACAGGAAATAGTGGGTTCCACTTTCTGACTGCGCGACTCAGCCAAGATCTTTCTGAGACAAGAGCCTACTATAGGGCTGAGACCCTGGGGAGGTTACATGGGGGTACAGGATGTGGGTTAGGAGCACTACAACACTGAGATAACCACCAGAGACACTTCCAATAGAGACGTACTCCCAGATTGACATGGGGAATTGCAATCAGCCCTGGTTTTTGCTCTCAATATGCCTTTGCAGACTTTTAAGGTTATTTGCAGAGATAATATTTTAGGTTACATTATGTGAGTTCAAGATCAAATTGATATGAATGCACAAGGGATGGCGTGATACCACTTTTCTGTTCTGATACTGATACTGACACCTTGAGTATCGGCCGATATCGATCCTTATACAATATGTCTTATTTAGAAACTACTAAGCTTTAAAATGAGGTAGTTTTAATGGGAAAATATCACTTGAAATCCACACTACATTTTTACACGTCTTTATCTGTTGGACAAAGGACTTTTTATCATTAACTGATACTGTTCTTAATAGACTATAAGCCATATATCATCGCTGTGCAACAAAAACCGAGTATCTCCACTTTTTCGTTTTTTAGTTTTCTGCACAGTTAGAGTTCAGCAGCAGTTCTTTACATTGTGTGAAGATTTCATGATGATTGGACCAATGGAAACGCTTTAAAATTACTTCAAATAAAATTTCTTTACATTAACTTGCATTGACAGTAAAGAAGCTTCTCCTCTAAAGTTATTTTGGAGATACTTGTTTTTCTTTAGACAGCGACGATAATCTAACATCACAGTTTTAATGTTTATGTTGATATTTGCCAGATGTTTTCAGGCATAACCACTGAACATAGTGCTTTTATGAGTCTACATCGCCAATGTGGGCACCATCAGCTATCATTTAAGGATAATATAACTAATGTCCAGCCCACAATGCAGAAGAATCGAGCCGATTTATCTTTCCCAACAATCTCTGAAAGTGTTCCGATTTCAGGCTGGTCATAAACCATTATCTTGCCAGATTATCCTGTGGTGTGTATAATCTAATCTCTTACTCTCTGATCTACTCCCAGTCCAGTCGTGGCCGTCCCAATTTCAAGTTATATTTGTTTATATTAAACATTCAATAATTACAGCTCAACACCCTGCAGTGTGGGTGGAGCAATGATTCTCATATGAAACGCTGACACTGACTGACAACCAACGAGAGTCAAGGTTGAACTGAAAGCCGAGCAGAATGGAAGCATAAAAATCCACTGATATGATAATGCATATTTCCACAAGCCGCATTTATTTCTGTTTTCTAGATGTTGCTTGTTTAAACTGAGAAACAACTTATTTCATTCCTGTCCGAACAACTGTTCGCTTTTTCTTTGCAAACACACGTAACAGCAGAACTACCACAGTATTCTGTGTCTCAGTGTCACGCATTATGTTTGTTTTGATCTATATGTCGACTGGTTTATATCATAACCTGAAAGTGTGTGGCGTTTATTCTGGTCGAGTCTTGTAGTGTGGGGAGCTTTGATGGCTGAAAAATGACAAAGGACAAAAACAATCAGTGAAATTTGTCATTATGTGTGACATACATATTTGCAAGGCTCTCTAAGACACCATAAGTAAAGGAACACGTTATCTTGTTTTGGCAAATCCAAGTACTTATTTTTTTTTAATTGTTATTATTCTTTTTTAAATGAACAGATTCCATCGTCGCTGTCAGAACAAAACCTTGTATATCTAATACCTAAAGTTTAGAGAGGAAAGAAAAAGCACTCTTAATTTAGAATGGAAATCATTGTAAAAACATCTTATTCCAAGTAATTTAGGCCCATTTCTGTTGGTCCTTTTATCAGAAATGTTTAATACAATGTGAAGAATAACTGGAGTTTTCAATAAATGCAAAAATACAAAGAATGACAACAATGGAGACACGAGGGTATATGTGCAACAGCAGCTATATGTTGTGACAAGAAAACACCTGCAAGTACGTACCTGCAGTCCACTCCACTACACACAACATGTCAGCCTATATATTCGGAAACTCCTACATAAGCGACTGTGTTATGAATTACGCATGTTCTAAGAATGTAAATGTATCTTAATGGACCGACAACACAAGTGCCAGTGACGCTTATCAAAATGCAGCATGAACACTCTGACCTCTAAAGCACAGATCCCATTCAGAGGATTCCAGGAATAGTCTGCAAACGAACGTTTTCATTAAATATCCATCAGCGGCTGAAAGAGAGGTATATCCTACCGCTGGTGCGAGAGACAAGCCGCCTTTTGTGTTCGTTCGCACAGTGACAGGACTCAGGCCTTAGCGTGGCATTCGCCGGGAATGGAATGATAATCCATGTGGAAGAGAACAGACCATTGGGTTCAGTGGAAATCAGTCAAGGCCGATAACCTGAGCGGACTTCCTCCAGCATCCTCAAGCAGCTCAGGTCAGCACAGAAGGCCCTGCTAGACCTTTACCCTGCAGGCTTTGCGGTGAGGCTGCTTGCTTGGAGAAACAAAGCGTCCGCAGTGCTGGAAGGGAGGTCACTGTATCTGCTCTGGATTAGTGGGTGTAAACATACACCTCCGGTAATTGGGGTCAAAGGGAACACATTCAGTCGCTTCTCGTGGCATGCGTCCTCAAGGGTAAGCAGGTGGGAGCGCTGCATTCAGAATGTATGTTAGTCAAAGGAGTGTAGTGATACACGAATGTCATGATGTGTACAGTTGTATGCATAAGTTTGAACACCCTCTGTAAAATTATTCATTTTGTTGATTTTCTGAGTGAAAATAAGTTCACACCCTCTACAGGGAACAAGCTTAAATATGGCACTCTTTGGCAAATTTTAGTGCACAATACATATTATATAAATACATAATACAAAATGTGCCATCACTTTTGCACAGGCCACATTTCATGTTTTATTTTTTCTCCAATGTGTTAAATTCAGCGAATAAACGGTAATTGTGCATTATGCAAATGTGGAGAATATATATATATATATATATATATATATATATAATACAAGATCACATCGGCTGGTAAAGTACAATTAAAAAACAAGGAATTTTCTAAGAAAACTAGATTTCCAGTATAAGTATAAATGCTTTCAGGTACAGAGAGCTTCATGATTATCATATTTAGGAACATCATGGATTTTTTTTTTTTTTAACAGAACAGTGTAAACCATTCAAATTTGTTGCAGTGTTTGACATTTATAAGATTTTTAATAGCATCAAATCTAACTCTATTGAATTTACAGCTTGCATTACCTCCTACAATGTTGTGACAAAGTATTTGCCCCCTCCCAATTTGTTCTGTTTTTGCTAATTTATCATATTTAAATGTTTCCGATCATCCAACTAATTTAATGTAAGATAAAGAACATGAGTAAACAAAATGCAGCTTTTAAATGGTGAAAACTGGTGACATTTTGGGAGGCTGGCCTCTCCTGGGAAGGTTCACCACTGTTCCAGATTTTCTCCATTTGTGGATATCGGCTCTCACTGTGGTTCTCTGGAGTCCCAGAGCCTCAGCAGTGGCTTTGTAACCCTTTCCAGACGGTAGATTTGACTTTGTTTCGTATCTGTATTTGAATCTCTTTAGAACGTGGCATCATGTGCCGCCAGACAGCCTCTATTAAAGTGATGTTTAGATTCAACAGGTGTGGCAGTGATCATGTCTGGGTGTGGCTAATCATACTAAACCCAACAATCAACTGAATTTAGTGAACTGGTTGATTTTAGTAAAGGGGGGGAATTACTTTTTCACACAGGGCCAGGTAGGGCTGTTCAGCATTTCTCTTTTAATAAATTAAATCATCATTTAAAACAGCATTTTGCGTTTGCTTGGGTTTTCTTTGTCTAACATTGAAAGCAGTTTGATGATATGAAACATTTAAGGGTGATAATTGTGCAAATAGAAGAAATTGGGAAGGGGGCACATACTTTTTCACAGCACTGTAACTCCCATATTAAAACAAAATGAATATTAATATGTGTACTGTACTGTCCTACTCAGTCATTTCAGTTACGGAAAACTAGCTTGATTAATCCATAATATTTCACTGCTGCCTTAATTAATTTCCTATGCTAATTACATCAAACCTAAGCTGATGGACTTTACAACGACTTACATGATGACTTTTGATAGAACTGAGAAAAGTTTTTTTTTTTTCTTATCACAGATTAAAATGGATGTTTTGATTTCCTTTTACAGGCCCTTGAGGATAAAGCGCCTTTGCGATTAATGTAATTACTAGTCTTAACAGTCTCTGCCATTGGAAATACTTAATGATTTATAGAGCTTTTATTAATCACGCACCAAGATTCGAACGTTTCACATCTGCTGTGGAGTTGGCTGCAGTTAAGACGGACCTTGTTCCTGCTGAAACGCAGAGACACTTTGCCAAAAACACTCTTTCCGCTTGGTTTTGGTGAGGAATGCAGTTTTTCGGCATATTGGTAGCCTGAGATTTCCGCTGATT